CGGAAGATGACGTGCTTAGTCAGCAGGAAAGCAATAGTAGTGTTTAGTAATGGTATTTGCATCCTGCGGTCCCCCTCATTCCCCCCCCCCCCCCCGACCCCACTTTTACGTCAAGACGATATTTTCATCTTAGAGCCTCGAGGTTTTATTAAGCAAATGTTCTATTCTGCTGCTGCTGCTGCTCGGAGGAGAAAGGCCGACACGTGGTCAGCAACATGAGCCAGATGCAAGTCCTTTGAATCAAAGCCATGATGTTAAATGACACTGTGAGTGTTGTGTTAGTATATTGATTCATTTAACACAATAATTGGCATTTTATTGGCGTGTGGGAGCTGCTGGACAGAGACACGCTAGCTGTTTCCCTCTGCTTCCAGTCTTAATGCTAAGCTAAGCTAACTGCTTCCTGGCTCCTTCAGCTTGGCACCAAATGAACCGACACAAAATAACGAGGAGGGTCCGGAATGCTAAACCGTTCCCCTGTGAGTGTGTGTGTGTGTAAAATTAGCTTTGACTATAGCAGAGCTTCAACAGAACCATCTGCTGTAATGAAGACTCAATAAATCCGGGTGAGCTGTGTGTGAAGGTTGATGGAGGAGTTCAGGGTTCAGGTTGAAAAGTGAAACCACTAATCTGAACAAACCCTGAGTCGCTGAGTTATTGATAACTGAGTTATTGAACCTTCCCGCAGACACTGTCGATTATGACACAATTATTGTGGCAGTGGCACGAGGCAATAAAAAGATAAACCCTCTGAAGTTGATGTTTCATCCACCATAACTCTTGAGACAAAGCTCCTCATTATCCTGCACTGTGACAGAAGTGCTGCTGCAACACTCAGGCCGCCCTGTTTCCTCACACACACACACACACACACACACTGAATGCTACGCCTATGTGGCAACTGCTAAACCTGATTAACATGCAATTAGTGTGTGACAAAGATCTTTCTTGTTTAGAATTCCCAGTGTTGTGTTTAATGTCCCTGATGCCATGATTGTGATGGAGGTCTACACTAAGTGCTGTCCACTGTCCCTCACCGGCCTCCCGGGGTTTTTTCCTCTACTTGCCAACACGAAATCCATTTTTTCCCTCAACCCGTTCGGTTCATTCTTTTAATCAGCTTATGTTGTCACTGACAAACAAATTGGACGGACTTCCGCTGTGAGCAAACGAGGCCGATCAGGGTGAAAGAGATGAGGGAAATACAGCCCCCCCCCCATGTGTCAACAAAATCAAATCATTTTCTTACAGTGATGGTCAAAACTTTATCAAACACAATATTATATAAAGCAAATATATAGTATTTACTGTAAAATATGACAGCGGTAGCCAGTCTATGATTCTCATCGCAGAGTGAAGAAGTTATTTCCTGAAGCAAGTGAAATATGTAAATATTTATTTATATCCAACAAATGTTAAGAGTGAGAGCAATGAAAAATTCATACACAACTAAATGTCCCACTTTATATATAACATGAGGATAACTGTAGAGGCAACATGTCTGAAGTCACATTATCCATCAGAAATTTGTCTCCCTTTTTATTTCTTACATTTACAAACATTTTTTTCTATATTGCATTGACTGTTGTTGATTGTATGGAATAATTTACAAAATATGATTTACAGGTGTGATTTTTAATGGTGTAAAACGTGGTTGTCCTCTCCCCCACATACGATGAAAAATAGTTTCAACAAATACATTTGAATTGAAATGTGGGAGGAATGAGAGTGAATGAGTGGATTCTCAGAGGCAGTGTGTTTATGCGCCTACAGAGGGCAGAGATGAACTCTGAGAAAAGCCTGACCACTGAGGAAACATCAGACCTTATCACAGGTGTCTACTGAGAAATGTTCTTTTGACCTTTGACAAGTTCCCTGAGGAAGAGAAATAAGAAATGTACAACAACAGTATGAGAGGGAGAGCTTAATTTATTCACAATATTACAAACATCATGGAATTTACAACTCCACACAGGCACAAAAAACACAACTCAAACTCTGAACAGAAAACAGGAGTGAAATTTAGCAGAACAAAAGTGGATTTCGAAATGTCTCATCTGTCGTCCCATCAGCTGGGACATGAAACTGAAATATGTCTTTCCTTCTTGGGTTTTAAACAGATTCTGTTCATATTAATGTCACACGCCTGCAGCATTCAAAACAAAATCCCCCCCAACTAAACAAGTATAATCCTACTTCCCAAAAAAAAAAAAAAGAAAATAGCCCTCTTTTCTGCGACCTGTGCTGTTAAATCTTTTCTGCACATGCACATACAACAGAGTATTTATCCATGTGTTGCTCCTTTGTGGGTGTATTTTTCCTCGCAGTCTTCGCTTTCTCCAAAATGTTGGTCTTTTGCATACTTTAGGAATTCCAGCGAGCTGCAGGGAACAACACCAGAGCCTTTTCTAAACCCTCGGCCCTGCGTCAGCACAAAGGCCAAAACAAACATACATTTGTTAAGCCAACCGAGGGACACAGGCGTAAATCTCCACAGAAATGTTTTAGAGGTGGGGGTGAAGCTGTTTAGCTAAAAACATGATAATATTTTGAAGGGGAGAGGAGTTTCCTCTCTCTGAAGAAAACTGGCTTTTTAGTTGTCCACTTGTTCAACGTTTTTTTGTTGTTCCTCAATAAATATACACAACTGTCAACCCATACACTGGATCACTTAAATATTCTGATAATCTTAAGACTTCATAGGAGTTTTGTTGAAAACTAATGCAGCAAACAGAGAGAAGTTTTGTCTTTTCTGTTCCGACAACCAGACAAAATTAAGGAATTCATGATTTCAAATATACACACACACACACACACACACACACACACTCACATCATTCTTAAACAACTATCCCATGTGTCTGGTCGAGGAATCAATACAAAAGAAATTTATACAGTCATCAAAAACTAATTACAAATATCAATAAGAAGTACAGATGCTGTTCAAAGATGTGAGATTCTTGTGGGAAAAGTGATTTGTGTTTTACAGCGGTCAAGAAGAGCTTTTCAATTACTAATGTGTTTTAATAAAGTTAAAGGTTAGATGTGTCTGCTCGGGGCTACACTGTGGAGGTAGTGAATATAGAATTTGTTTAAGACACCTGAAGTGAAGATTGTGGACTTTGCTCTTATCAAAAAGTAATTTCAAGTATCACGTGTCACTTCTGAAGACGTTGATATGATTGTTGCTCAGTTATAAAATGCTTTGAAGAGGTTTAGTACCTCAGTGCGAGGATCAGCTCCAGCATGAAATCATATAAACTTTAGAATGTGAAGTATGAAATTAACCAGAAACGAATTTTAATCCTTGTAGTTGCTGTGTGTGCTCATGTACCTTTTTTAATAAAACATACAGTCAATTCCTATTAAGAAATGAATGACACAACAAACAGAAGAAGTAAAATAAAGTAATAAAAAGTTAACTGGATGGAGTAAGGCTTTCACTTGAAATTACTTTTGAAAAGAAATCTGATTTGAAGAAATGTGCATTTATGTATCATTACAAAGTGCTTTTTTTCATTTCACCTTTTTTGGTTTTTAGTGCCTTAATTTGAAACATTAAAAAATAAGAACATAAAAAAAAGATTATATCTTCTACATCTATTGTACATTTTACTGACATGATACAGTACATCGCCCCTCTCAGGCCACTCTTTCATTGAAGCCCTATACAATCTTAAAGCTTATAACAGGTTTCCACGGGTGCAGATACAGGGCTAGAGCACTACCGCCATCCTAATGAAAAAACAAGGAGGACAGTTACTGAATTGCTAACAGGGGACGCAAAGTTTCCACACAGCAGCTCTAATGGAAAACGCTCCACAGCAACAGCAAGGCACACAGAGAAACAGAAAACAGGCGTTCTGTTTAAAGTCAAAGAAAACGAGTACAACGGGGGACAAGTCCTCAGATGCAGATGTGCAGACTGAGAGGGGCGTCGGGCGGAAAGTGGGTGAGCCTCCTGGGCGCCCGCGGGGGGGGGAGAGAAAGGCATCGAGCTTCAGTCTCAACAGTCTTTGATGCTCATCTCATGTAGAGCCTGTAGTTGTGAGAGGAGAGCTGAACTACATGATCATTTCCCCTGCTCTCTTCTTTTGAAAGGACAAAAGAAAGTCATGACAGGGTGCGAAGGGTCAGGGATATCAGCTCGAACATTTATAATCCATGTCCTGCGTCTGTATGAGGCACAGACAAAACTTCCGCACGTCCTGTTTCAAGGCAAGTAAAGAACAAGGAGAAATCTTCAGCTGCCTCTCCGCCCCTCAAAGGTGGAGGCTGTTGGCGAGCGCCTCCAGCTGCTCCTCTCCCAGCCTCTGCTTCTCCTC